ATTGGGATTGCAGGAAGAGTTGAGCTGGTTCCCCGCGGGGGATGATGTAGCCAGGCACACCGACGGCGGTAGGGGTATTGGTGCCCCTGACCGCGGCATCGAGTCCGCGCACGCCAGACTTTGCCACCGAGAAGCGGACACCGAATTGAAGAGACTGACCGGGCTGAAGGGTCTTCGAAGAAGGTGTGTTCCAGGGTGTTTGTGCGCGCCATTCGTTCTCAGCCCAGGCTTTGGTGAGGGTCTGCCACTCGTAAAAGCCCTCAAACGTCTGGCTGCCATAGGCTGTGTCGGAGTAGTACGTCTCCTGGAGGTTGCGGTATGCCTCCAAGGGCGTGTCTCCAAGCGGAGTAACGACAAGGGCCGCGCCGGTCCCGCGGATCGGGGCCACGCGGATTTGGCCGGCATGCATACCAATATAGGGGTCTGAGAGGGAGCACAAACGCTGCATGTCTGTGGCGAGGCGGTTCGTGAAGATGGAGTTGAACTCGGCCGGGAAACCCAGGCTGCCGATCTCGACGGCAGAGGATCCCGAGTTCTGGATCGTGAAGCGCAGGCCGAGATCGCCGGAGACGTCGAGCCACTCGCGGGTGATGTTCAGCGGTCCGGTCGGCAGAGTGGGGCCGAGACGGGAGGAGGCGAGGACGCCGGACCCCGCGGTGAGGGCCGTGACCGTTTGCCGGGCCGATGCGGAGTTGCCGTCGGTCCATGCGGTGGCGCCAGATTGGCGGTAGCGGAAAGTGATATCGCCCCAGTGGTACTGGCCGTTGCGTGCACGCTTAGAGAGGTAGTCGAAGGGGAGGAAATCAAAGGTGTCGCCCGCAGGTTTGAGGGAGGCGAGGACCTGGGCGTTGCGGACTAGCTGGAGATTGAAGTTTGCGGTCGTAAGGGTGATGTAACCGTTGCTCAGACCCAAGTTGTCCTGGCAGAAGACGGTCGCCACCAGGCTGGCGAGCACAAGGGTGAACTTCATGGCGGAGATCATGAGGAGCTGAACTGCTCTGCCTTGTCTGAAGAGCTAGACTCTGGCTACAGACTCCAACGGACCATCATGATTATATAGACACTTTGATCGGGCTCTGATCACACTATTGATGGCACCATACCATTCAACTCTGAGGGACATTCTACAAAGGCGATAGGCTATGACCGATCTACGTTCCTGCAGACGGGCGATGCTACATTGAACCCGGTGTCGTTCCCGATGAATCCCACGCCTCGGCGGAACAGATTCCATCGCTTGTTTGGTCAGTTGAGGAAACATCAACCAAACCTATGGTGTATTTTCGCTTCAAGACTCGCATCGCTTGTTTCTTGGTTCGGGCCAGGCAACCGAATGCAACCATGGATCGGGCGGATGATCCGAGTTTTGTGCATCGCGACCGCAATCTTCCCAGTTAACGAGGGTCAACTACGCGATACCCTCAAGCGAGCCGTGAGCTAAGCATCCCACCAAGCCTGGCGTCCTGCTCTCATGCACGGAATGGGCAGCAAACGCGGGGTACATCTGCCCATCCCCCGTGCGATGCAACCCTTCGGTGTCGGTCTCTGTGCAACATGATTGGGTCGCAAGTAGAAAGAGTCGCAATGATACGCCCCGGTCCTCCCACCGGGGAAATCAAAATCCACGGATGGTTCGTCCTAGTCTTGGAGGGGCAACCTCGTATTGAGCAAAACGCATATAGTACTTGAGAGTAGGGCGGAGTTGGAATACATTCAAAGGGGATGAGAACGGGCAGCAAAAGATCGCTGACTTATGGCTGGGTTGAGCCGGGTTGCTCCGTTTAGTTGCTTTGGGCAAGTCGTTTAACGCAACCAAGTCTCATGGCTACCCCAGTTTAAGTGGCTAGACGCCGTCACAATTAGTGATGATTTGCCCCCTGTTGGCTGATCTGGTGCAATTGTCAATTTATTCGTATCACGAACGAAATTCAGGGATGAGGAAAAGTGGATGCCCCTCCTAAGGTTAATCCAGTTAAGTCTCTTTAAATCCTGACACTCAGCCCTTTGGAAGAATTCCCCGACCTTAGTGCCAACTCGAGTTCCAAGTCAACTCAGTGAGCTTGTTCGTTCTTTCAACAGTCCTTCTTTTGTGTGTATTCAGTCATTCTTTTTTTCTCCAATCATTTCTCAAAATGCTCTCCAACCTGTTGCGGGCTTGTCTCGCTACTTCGCTGCTGGCTCAGCCCCTGCTTGCAGGCGTCATCCCTGTCCGCCGTCAGGCAACCTCCAAGACTTTCACGTCCACCGGCAACCCCATCCTGGCCGATGGCTCCATGTACTCCGCCGACCCGGCGCCGCTCATCGTCAATGACACCCTCTACATCCTCTCCGGCCGGGACGCTGCGGGCCCGACCGAGAACGGCTTCGTCATGAACGAGTGGCAGATCTTTGAGGCCAAGAACCCGGACCCGGCCGGCGGAGACTGGACTCTGCACCAGGACGTCGCCCAGCCCGAGGCCATCTTCTCCTGGGCCAGCGCCGGCACCGCGTACGCCAGCCAGATCGTCCAGGGCGCCGACGGCAAGTTCTACATGTATGCCCCCGTGACCCAGGCCAGCAGCAGCGCCAAGGACCCCTTCGCCATCGGCGTCGCCGTCTCCGACAGCCCCCTCGGCCCCTTCAAGGACGCCCACCCCTCCGGCCCTATCATCTCCCAGACCGTCCCGTCCCCCGGCAACGACATCCAGAACATCGACCCCACCGTCATGGTCGACACCGACGGCAAGGTCTACATCTACTTCGGCACCTTCGGCTACCTCAAAGGCTACGAGCTCGACAAGGACATGATCACCATCAAGGGTGATGTTGTCGATGTGGACTCTCTCACCGGCTTCTTCGAGGCCCCCTGGCTCATGAAGCGCGACGACACCTACTACATGCTCTACGCTGCTAACAACGCCGGCGCCGACTCCCCCTGCACCCCGACCAGCTACCACGCTTGCCTGGCCTATGGCACCGCCTCTAGCCCTCTCGGCCCCTGGACCTTCCAGGGTGTCTTCCTCGATATCGTCTCCTCTACTACTTCCCACCCGGGTGCCTACAAGTTGAGCAACGGTGAGTGGGGCCTGGTCTACCACACCCGCGATGCCGAGGGCGGCACGCACTTCCGCCGCTCCATCGCCATCGACAAGCTCACCTGGGACGACTCCGCCAAGCCCCCTGCCATCAACAAGGTCGTCCAGACCAAGCGCGCCGCCGCCGCCAAGGAGCCCACCCGCAATGTCGCCCCCAAGGCCGTCGCCGCCTCCGAGGGCGAGACCCCCATCCAGTACTGGATCAAGGCCATAAACGACGAGCGCGTCGAGGAGGCGCCTCTCCCGCCCGACTACTGGTCCTCCTACAACGCCGAGCAGTCCCCCAAGGAGAGCACCCTGACCCTCACCTGGAACGCCACCCAGGAGCTCAACGGCGCCGCCATGGCCTTCTTCGCGGACCAGGCTGCCGGATCCACCGTCGGTGTTGCGCCGCCTGCCTCTTGGAAGCTCGAGTACAAGGACGGCACCGCGTGGAAGGCTGTCGACGCGACTTCGTACCCCACGGATGTCTCTGACACGCCTGCCGAGGTCAAGTTTACCAAGGTGTCTACGACTGCGCTGAGAGCTGTCCTGACTGCGTCCGGCAGCAGCACGTATGCCGGTGTGGCTGTCAAGGAGTTCTTCGCCTACGCTCCTACGGCCGCGTGAAGAGGTCTTTGGTGATGCTGTCAAACTAGGCTTGTACAATTACTGATTATCTCGTCACTCTTCGAGATGGTTCTGCTGTTCATATTGGGAATCATGTACATAGATATGTTACAAGCGATCCATGCGCCTGCATGCTTGTATTCTTCATATTGCGCAATTTTGCAGCACTTGCTACAATGTATTATTATTCGATCATTACCTCATGACAATGAACAGGTGCACGGCTTGACCGCCATAAGGGATGAAGACTTGAGAAAAGAGTTTTGCCAGCCAGACAGTGTCAATTGGCTACCCGGGCAGTGCTCACACATTTATATCCTCTTAAAGCGACTATGTTCCTGCGGGCTCGCTTTCGTCGTCGTCTATCATTATCGGCACCCCTATTTTGTTCTCTACTACCATCTTCCTCATAATAGTATGTAGTGTGCTACGATACTGTCAGGATGACTGACTGACAATGCCCGGCTAGCAAAGCTCTGGGGAAAATAGCAAGCTATCGACGGAAGGCCCTACAATTGTAACAAAATTGTCAGCTTCGGACCTATGGTCAACGGGAATCCCGCTACTGTATTTGCCGCAGTGCCCACCGCAAGGCAAGTAAATTTGTCAAGTGCAATCAATCAATCAATTATTTATGAAGATATAGCTAGGCGACCAAGCTAATTATAAGGCTCAAACTCGATTAATTGCCTTGGGGTGGGCGTTGAAGGCTGTCGTAGGAAAGTAAAGATCCGGTGGCATCATTTCACGACTCAACGACGCGAGCAGAGTGGTGAAGGGGTCTAGCCGTACTCATGGACTCTTCAACTGGGAGACACAGATTCCTCATTATTCGAAATTCTCAGGGCATCAATTCTTTTTGTACCGACACACCTTCTCTAACTAAAGTAACAAATGTCATTTCAAATTGGCAAGAGAGCAAGATGCATCACCAGAGAATGCGAAGCAAGCCGTACCCAAAGAATATTGTGCGTGTGAGTTTGGGTTACATTGCAAATTGGCCATTCAGATTTTGCAACGGGAGCAATGCATCAATTCCACCTCGTTATTGGAGCAAAACTCACCCGGCGTTGTACAAACCAGCAGGCTAGCTATCATGTTGAGGAAGTTCAGCTCACGCAGCTAGTAAGACACTGTAGCTATATCCGGCGCGGAAATGCAGCGGCTTATTCCGCCCCTGTATATAAGGTAATGGAAGTATATAAGACCGGCTTACCTCGACCACTGCTCGAATCTCAGACGCAGCCTGATCTCCTTCACATCAGACTGAGCCTCACAACGCTACCTACCCACTAACTCGAAGTTTACGGCGAGGAGATGGCACTCGCTATACGAAATGCGGCTCCGCTGAAGCCAGAGATTCGCTTGGCACAAGCTGTTTCAGAGTTTGAAGCTAGCCTCGGCGATGGACACAAAGAAGTATTCCGAACCACACGAAAAGCCGCCCTCAGGACGGCGCCGATCCCAAGCGATGTTATGAGGCTGACTGCGGAGATTGATTCACGAGTACGAAAACAGCATGGTCTTTCACGATGTTTTGGGCCCCGTCTTACCAACATACTCCAAGCTGTCCAGCAATTTGCGGCGCTGGGTGACACGGTGGTTGGCGGGTCGCAGAACCTGGTGGCCTGTGGTGTGTGGTCAGCGGTTAGGACGACGCTATATGTTTGTGTCCCTGAATGAGGTATATACCAGTGTCGCTAATTTCCCATGTGTGGTGCAGATGGCGGTCAATTATGCTTCTTACCTGGAGAAGCTGTCATTGCTATTCATGACTGCCGGCCGACAGGCCCCTCGATATCAAGCCTTGGCAACCATTTACCCCCAGTCCGAGACTTTACAAAGCTGCCTATCCGAGTACTTCATCGTCGTCGTTCACGTATGCCAAAAGATACAGAAATATGGAAACAGATCAGCCTTTGGCCAGTTCAAGTCTTCGTTGAACGACGCGGATCTTAAGGGGTACCAGGCAGATCTTGAAGTCTGGGGGAATGCCATCAAGGACCAAGCAACCGTACTTCTTAACCAAGTGATTCACCACGAATCACAAGAAAACAATAAGTCCCGCATGTTGATGAGCTGGTGGTCCGCATCTGCTCGGCGGCAACAGGCCCTCGAGCGTAAGATGCGATGGCTCGACGCATGTTCCAGGTACGACTTTCAGACCACTTGGAAGCAGATTCGGAAGAGGGGTTCCACATCGTTGCTACCAACATGGCCCGACTATCAGCAATGGAAACAGGAGATTGAATCGACGTCAGCTATTCTTTTCAGCGGAAAGGTCGGCGCTGGAAAGTCAGTCACAATGGCCAATATTGTTGACGACGTGTATTTGGTAGAAAACGCTATAGTCGTCTACTTTTTCTGCCGCCACGATATCCAGGAAAGTCTCAAGTCCCGCATAATCTTGGGAAGCCTGGCTCGACAGTATTTATCATACTTTCCAGAGGACAACGGGGTCTTCAAGGAAGGTGTGCCGTCTCTTGATTTGGACGAACTCACGACTCTCATGAAGTTGAAGTGCGACAATCGGCCAAGGTACCTACTGCTCGACGGTTTAGATGAATGCAGTGAAGAGGAACGTCGTTCGGTCCTTCTTCAGTTGTCTTTTCTGCAGAGACACTCTAGTTGGAGACTCGGGTTCTCAGCTCGTCTTTCAACAGAAAGTTTCATCCAACGACACATTACCTTAAGGCGGCACATTTCCCTCCCTATTCTCAACCCCGATATCGAGAGATACATCGACAACGAGCTAGAGAATCGCCTATCTAGTGGCCAGCTGACACTCGGAGACCCGAATTTGTTGTTCGAAATTCGCAATGCTCTCCTTAGCGGCGCGAACGGAATGTGAGTTGAATATTCTTTCGCCTTATCTTACGCCCGATGTAGTCAAATACGCTTGCTTTGACCTTGGCTAACAATTACCATCATTAGGTTTCTGTGGGTTGCTCTGCAGCTAGATCAAGTGTGCTCAGAGATATCCGACCACGCCATACGCCTTGCGATCAAGTCACTTCCCCGAGACTTGTCCGAAACGTACGCTCGTATATTGGGCGAATCGTCAGCTAGAGATACTGGTCGACATCACGTCCGCCTGTTCAAGTTCCTCGCAGCAGCTTATACGCCATTAACGATCGATCAGATTCAAGAAGTTGCCAGCGTAACAATAGGTGATGCTACTTGGGATCCCAGCAAACGTATCAATAACATCCGGAGGGTCGTGGGGTTCTGCGGAAGTCTCGTAATGATTCAAGAAGAGGAACAAACAGTCCAGTTTGTCCATCACAGTGCCAGAAGCTTCTGTCAAGGTGTTCTCGAGGGCTTTGGTCGTTGGAAGTTCTGCTTTTCTGACGACGAGGCACATCGCGAAATAGGAGAAACAGCAGTGACTTATCTCAGCTATGGCATCTTCGACACCCGGCTATCGACTCAACTTATGCCAAAAGTGAAAGTGGATGGCTTCGCACAACGTATCGTACAGCAAACAATTGGGACATCAAACCCTATTGTAAATTTGGCTCTCGATTTCGTCATGCCCAAGACGGACAGCGATCGCGACATCGCACATTTTCTGACACACACGCATCAAAGGACTAGCGCAACAGAATTCGAATCAACCAACCATCCATTTCTTCCTTATGCAAGGGAGTTTTGGATCTTGCACACGAGAAACATCGAGAATTCAGAGGTACATCGACTGTGGGAACAGCTCTTCAATGAAGTCGATTTGAGTCATCTGCAACTCACGCCTCATGTCGCTGGTCCCCTAGACCATTTTAAAGCACCCTGCAAGCACCCGATCGCATCGGCTTTTCTTTGGGCTGTCAACTATTCCCATGTTGCTGTTTTCGACCGCGTCATGGACCTGGGTCGCAACCATCCCTTCGCCCCAGGCCTGCCGTGGGCACGTTTCCGTTTCTTCCGCAGTCTGCTTCAATATCTTCAACCGCACGGTCCATTCGATAAGGTTCCACGTCTAAACCGGCAAATGATACGACGACTTCTCCCGATGGCGGTCGTTTTGAGGGTCTATCATGCGGTTGAATGGATGTTGCCTCATGTAGACCCCGCTCAGATACTCTCGGTCTTCGAGGTAGCCATTTCTTGCGGCAATTACACATCTGCCGCAATCCTCTCTTCCAATGCAGCCTTCAGTCCACCCAACAAGCCTATTATCCCAACTGAGCTTATGTTGCTCGCTGCCTCTACCCACGACCCGCGAATGATTGGTCTCTTGGCGAAAATGGGTGCTGCTAGGTCCGCACACACCAATACTTCGGCACTGTCGAGTTTGCTACACTCTGACATGCATCACGGTGCTCTACTGGAAGCGACAGCCATTCTTGCCAACGCGGGACTTCAGCCAAACACACTCAATTCGCGAGATAAGTTTGCTGTCTTTCAACTGCTGGCTCTGGGTCCCGAGACCAGCGCCAAAATGGCCCTGGGGTCTGTCGAGAGTATATTGGCCGCGGACTCGGACTTCCCACGGCTTCATCAACAAATTCTCCAGCGCGCATGCTCCATTGGAAGTTTTGATCTCGCCAATGCTGTCTTGGCCAGCTACGATAATTTCACTACTGGAGAGCGAAAGGTTGGTATCAGCAAGGTACCCCACTTCCCTTTCGAGGGGAATGAACTGGTCCTTATACTACAGATGGTGTCGGAGAGTAGGACCAAGCTTGCAAGTTTGCTTGTCAATCGGGGATGTCATGACAAGGACCGGCGCGGTTTTCGTAGAGCGCTTGTTCTCAGGCATTGGCAGCTTGCAGACGCTTTGCTCAACGGGAGGGATCTCACAAGTGATACGCTCACATTATGTGACAACCACGAACTTCTTCACCTGTGTCTCTTTCAAGGGGACCTCATCGGCATCAACGTCCTGCTTAAGATTGGCATAAGTTTTGAAAACCCATCAACCGGACCACTTTTCAAACACGCGACTCCGATGCAGGCACTTTTAGCTCAGGACTCGGAATATTTTATCCGTCTCTCTATGGTAGAGCTTCACATTCGAGGGGCTCTATCCATGGATGTTCCTACCAAGTTCTCGGATTTGAGGACTGCCGTGAAACGACTTCTCTCACCTTCCAGTTCTTCCGCGTGGGACCCTCAGATCCAGCAGATAGTCAGAAAACAACTTTCACGGAACGTCTATTCCCATGCTTATGACCTGGGTTGGCTCATCTGTATTTCTGCTGTCTCTGTACGAAAGATCGTACGGACACATTTCCTGTCTTTTGGTAATGACCAAACTGGGCTAGTGCTTCTCGAAAATTGGTTAGGACTCTTGGAAGAGATATATCGTTCAAATGGGGTTCCAGTCGTTTGCGACGAGCTACAGCGCACCCTTGCTATTCGAGAACTCTTCGGCGCCACGGATGTTGTAGACGCATTTTCGGCTCCTTGGTCTCGATGGCAGGCTCAAATGACATGGATGCTATGGCAGTTCATTGATCTATTCGCTGACCGGGATTCAACAAAGCCTGCCACACCGTCTAGGGACAGAGCACTCCGGGAGCTGTCACTCTTGCTATGCAGGGGACCACTTGAGTGCGTCTTCCCGGAACTCTGTTCAGATGTTCCAAGTATAAGGGAACGAGTTTTCAAAATACTGCGTGTGGCGGATGAAAGCCTGGGCCTACATTGGGTTCTTCAATACTTCTTCATGCGTAGCCGCAGGTTCTCTGTTTCTGACTTCTGTGATTTTTCGAAAGATTGGAAACGTACTACTCGGGGTGTCGATATTTTCAGTAAACCACATGAAGCATTCGTACTCATGGAATGGACGGAAAGAGATAGGCACATGCTTGAGAGAGCCAACTTCATGAGGCCTGGACTGAGAAAAGCTTTCTCAAGTCCATGACGGAATGACAGCTACACGAATGACGCAATCATTCCCACATAATTAGAGAATCCCCAGGCTATTTAACAAGGCGAGACTTTACAGAACGGAATTTTGAGTAAGACGTCATGTCATTTCTGTCTTGCGTGTTCAGTTGAAAATGTCTCCGGTGAACGAACACACTCAATAATACATTTGCATTCCACCAAATGGAAGAGCCCAACGCCTCTGAGTAAACGATATGTCGGAATCACTTATCCAATCTCATCTATGCGCAAAACTTGCTTCATCCCGAAATCTTACCTTATCTGAATACTCTAGCCATGAAGTATTTGTGTGCCCTTGTAATACAAAATTCAGTCCGCGGACAGCATGATGGGCCTGCAGAGTAATTTCTTGTCAGTCCAACTCCCATTGTTGGCAAGACATCAAAGGTAACTCAATCATCCTCTTTGCGGGGAATGTTGAAAGGCGAGTCCCTTCCGGTATACACGAAACCATCGTACACACAAGCACCTACAACACCGCCAATGATCGCAGCGACCCAAGGAGCCCACAGCCAGTAGTAGTAGTCATGCGTAAAAACAGCAGACCCGTAGCCGACGATGGCCAGCGCAATACGCGGGCCGGTATCACGGGCGCCGTTCATGGCATACCCAGTGTTGATGCCCAAAGCGGAGCCGATCGCCAACAGCGCCAGAAACATAGCGAATGGCTGTGTGCCCTTGGGCGGAGACAAATTATTCTTATCAGCCAGCGCAAACACAATGGCGATCAGCACCGCAGACGCGAGAAACTCGGTGTAGAACGCGCCCAGATACGGGAGACCCGCGGCGGGGAACGTGAAGAACAGCCCGGCGGTGGCGTGCTCGCCGACGAGGGTGCGATTCGTGCTGCCCTCGTAGGCGGCGATGCTGGTGGAGTAGTTGAGGTAGACGGCGAGACTGGCCAGGGTGGCGCCGAGGACCTGGGCGATGAGGAAGCCGGGAACCTTGCGCCAGGGGAAGCCGCGGAAGAGGGCGAGGGCGACGGTCACGGTCGGGTTGCAGTGTCCGCCCGAGACGCCGCCGGACATCCACACGGCCATGGACACGCCGGCTGCCCAGGCGAGACGGCACTGCAGGAAGTCGCCGGCGTTGGAGCGGATGTCGGAGCCTTTGTAGTTGAGACGCGTCTCGCACTCGACTCCGGCGCCGAAGAGCAGGATCATGAAGGTGCCCCAGAATTCGCTTCGAGCAATGTGAGCTTCATTTTCATTTCAGATGCGCTGATTGAGGCGGTACTCACGCAAACTCTTCACGCCAGTAATGACGGATCTGGGCCCATGTGTTGGGTGGTCTATCGCTCAAAGCCCATTGAGGCTTGTGCAGGCGGGTTTCCTCGTGAGCGGCGACGGGCGCGGCTGGGAGGACGGGCTCGACATCTTCATGATGCGGGTGGACTTCCTGCAGGGAAGCGCGTCTCACCGCCAAGGGTGATACGCGACGTTCCCCATTGAATCTAGGCAAAAAGTTGAATGTGCTGGTGCGGCGGCGCTGGTTGGCGAGAAGTGGCTGCGTTGGGTCGCCCGGATCGTGGATTGAGGATGCGGGAGACATGGTGGCGATGTTTCGCGTCGGGGATAGCGGTGTGGCGGGCTGACCGAGAAATGATCGAGAATGAATATGTCAGTGTTACTACGACAAGAAGTCGAAAAGATGAGATATGAGGGCTTTCTTGAGATAAAAGAGGCTGATTCCCTTCTTTAAGCTCTTCCGCGTTACGCTTGCGAGGTGGAGGAAGAGATTTCCAGAAGCGTTATCAATGTTTGTTTTGTTTCCAAAAACCTATCTTTCCGCTCGGTCGGCCGATCCATCTCAGCACGGTTGAAAGTTGATACGATATCTCGCGAAATGACCCAGTTAATGCGCCATTTCTCCACTCAACTTATCTACACAACACGGGCTGCATTGAAAAGAAAACTGGCAACCTTTGGCCCACCTGCGCCCGTAGTCCATGTTTGGGACCACATATAAGCCGGGATCGCCAAGGATCGTACATGCCGGTCGCACCGTCCGGCCGATCCCCGGTTTACCTGATCCGCGTTTGGCGATGACTTCAAGCACGTGCAGCGGTCACTGGCAGGTAGTCTTTTGACGTTGATTCATTTCGATTCATGCCCGTCTTAGGCAGAACACTTTCTATATCTATCATTTGCATTGGTATCCCTAAACTCTATCGTGAATTTCTCAAACCGAAAAAAATCTATTTCTTGTTGGAAACGTCTGAGACAGAAAGTTAGCAACCCATTACAACAAAAGCAGAGTACATGTTTTGGGTCGACTTTGAACTTACTGAATTGGAAGTGAATGATATCTCCGTCTTGGACAACCTGGGAGGAGACGAAGTCAGCGCTGCAGCCTGCAGAGTCAGGAGGAAGCCCGAGAACTTACATAGGACTTTCCTTCTTGGCGATACTTTCCAGCAGCCTTGATCGGGCCCATGGACTTGCCACCTTCACAAAGATCGTGGAAGTCTTGGTAGGCAACCACTTCAGCCTTAATGAACCCCCTCTCGAAGTCGCTGTGGATAGCGCCAGCAGCCTGCGGTGCGAGACAACCTCTCGGGATGGTCCAGCATCTGATCTCCTTCTCACCAGCTATACCAAAGTCAGCACAGAAACTCACCCGGGAGGTTGGCAAAGTGAGAACAAACCAGTGAAGTAGTATTGCAAGCCAAGCTTGGTGAATCCCTCGGTGACGATCTTGTCCAGCTTTGACTTGACCTTGCTCTCTTTGAGGAACTCAGCTTGCGCAGCAGGATCATCCTTCATGCTGTGGAGCTTCTCCTCAAACTCGATGGAGAAGGGGATGATGTCGCGGGGGACGCCTCCGTGCTCGGTGACCCACTTGGCGATGGCCGGCAGGTACTTGCTCTTCTGTCTGAGGTAGTCCTTCATTGTCAGGTTGACGAGGTAGATTGCGGGCTTGGTGGTGATGAGCTGGATCTTCTCGTTGATGAGGGCGATCTCGGCCGGCGTCCAGCTTCCGTCTCTGACTGGCTGGTCCTTCTCCAGCATCTATTTCACAATTATGAGCATTTTTGCCACCGGTCAGATGTATGAAATTGGGAACTTACCTCCTTGATCTTTGTCGTTGTCTCTGTAAAGAGAGGCAGCATCTTGTACTTGCCACCTGCCTTTCTAACAATCTGCTCCTCAGCGACGATGGTCTTCGCCAGAATGTCTAAGAAGGGGAGTGTAAGCTCACGTCAGGCGGGTTCAGAAGGGCAAATACCAACCAAGATCCTTCTTGCAAAGCTCGCTCTGGATGGTGTCTATAAGATGGACCATTAGTTTTGTCAACCTGAGAAATGCGGTTGAACTAACCCAAGTCACGGACGGGATCAACCGAGTCATCGACATGCAAGACTTCATCGTTGTCGAACGCTCTGTTGTAATGCCCAGGTCAGTGTGAAGATGCAGCAATTGAGCTTTGGATATTGTACCTGACAATGTGGTACATGCCGTCCACGGCCTGGATGTGAGACAGGAAGGCATTTCCGAGTCCAGCACCTTGAGAAGCACCCTTGATCAGGCCAGCAATATCCGTGACCTGGAGGTACGCAGGGTACATGGACGGCGGCTTCCACAGATCACAGAGAAAGTCCTACACGCATCGCCTTTCTTAGCCATTTATTCGGAGCATTTCTCCAGGCAAGCTCGACTTACGTATCGAGCGTCGGGGACAGCACATCTCGCCTCGTTGGGCTCAATGGTACAAAACGGGTAGTTCTCCGCAGCGGCGCTCTGCTCGGTCAAGAGGTTGAAGAGACTCGACTTTCCGACATTGGGCAGACCGACGCATCCCATCTTCAGGTTCTTGCTTACCCTGCCGAACGCGACGACATTGTCCTTGACAACTTCAATCTTCTTGGGAGGCATGTTGACTGTATTTTTGCCCAAGCACAAAAATGAATTTTTACTTGAAAGCTTGATCTTGAGGGGTTGCAAGAAGGAAGAATTCTCTGGCACACGTTTTTAGAAAATGGCCTGATAATTCACCTTCAGGCCCACTTATGGACATGGGTATGTTCTTAGGGGTCCTGGGGTCCAAGGGTCCCTCTCGATTGAAATAGCCGCCCCACGCGCTGCTTTAAGCGTTCTGAATTGACAAGCCTGCATGTTTACGGCTCAGAACATCATGAATTCTCCCCCGACTGATATGTCGAATACAAGAGTCACAACTACATGAAACTGGAGGAATGATTTTTCAAGAGTCTAAATTTGTTTCTCAAGGGGAATTCTTGTTGGATTTTGGCCGAACCGCTACCAATTGAAACTCAATTACGGCCAGAACCACGAACGTGCAGTCTGACAGGCTCCGACCAAGGAATTCAGGCCGAATCATTTGAAAGCTATGTCAGATCATTTGACCCTACTCGCTGTCTCTTCTGCAACCACCTACAGCACGACCTCCGCCAAAATATAATCCACATACAGCGCCGCCGCCGCCATAGCTTCATCATCCCCAACAAAGACTATCTCGCGGTGGTTTATGAGACGCTCATGGAGTGTCTGCACTCTGTTATCTTCAGAGAGGTCCAGTCCATATGCTGCGGATCTGTGCGAGGCTCGTTTCACGCCACCCAGCAACACACGCTTCACAGGGGACATTGCCGCATCGACGGATCCGCGTTCCGAGAGTCCTACGACTTCGATACGACTTCGATTTAGAAGCTGAATTTTCCGAAGATACTGAAGATCGTAACGGAGCGAAGTACAACGTAATCACGAGCGGCGACGACGCGAAGTCACTGGAAGGCCAGAAGTTTCTGCATCCCAACGCCAGGGGACGTTGCCGCATGCGTTATGCCCTCCTTGGAAAGGGCCAGCGATGATGACGTACGGACAGCCTGAGAATTGAGTTTCTGCTAACGACGCAGCTCCCCTACAAAAAGAATGCAACAAATTCACCCAGTTCGCGGGCACATTCGGAACATATTACACGCGCACTTTAACCTATGCCACCTATCAGTTAAGGACAGCAGTACGGGAAATCTAAACGTTCCTGCTAGTAAGCAAGCCCTCTGATTATCACCGCATAAATATCGATAACCCTGCAGGATTCTATCAAAACTACGTTATGTTTCATGGGGACTGTGTGCTAAGCCAGTAGTGAGCTTATTTGCTAGATATTTCTGATTCAACTCCAATCTGCGAGTTTCGACGGCACATTGTGGTAGCCGTTGAAATGGCTGTGCGGATCGTAGGACGTCTTAAGGGCGCTGAGACGTTCGTGTCGCCACTCCGCGTACCCATAAACAGCCGACTTTGGTTCATCTCCGTGGGCATAGTTCTGGTAAATATGCATCTCCTCATAACCCGAAATCTCCGGCTCGGCAACCTGATTGCGCCATCGCAAACCCCAAGCCTTCGCAGCTTCCGCGACCCGGTCATCGAAGTATCTCATGGAGAAAACAACTGCGTTAGCAAATGACTTCCGATGAGGAAACGCCGAGTAGTTGTCATCGAGTGCGTCGACGCCTTGTTGACCGAATGTTTCGATGAATACAACGCTGTTGTTCGCCGCTGGGTTTTCCTTTACAAATGTCGTATATGAGTTATATATGTCGACGAATGTTTCTTGGTGTAACGTCTTGGTTAGTATGCTATATTGATTTGCCCGACTGCCAGTTGCGCATCCTTCCTCGATGATGCCAGCTAGGGCAACCGACGTCAGGTTTGTCCATGGAACCATTTGCTCGTTGGTGCTGACACTGAAGTTTGAGTAAAGATCAACTATGGCCTGGGCAGCATCTTTCGGACCAGCGTAAACGATGTTCACGAAGATCACGGGCTATTCGGTCAAAGTCTGTCAGCTTGCTCCATCATGCGGGTTTACACAGTAAGAAGCAAGGTCAGACTTACGTTGAGTGATTGAGGGTCAGAACCATAGGCAATCATTATGGCCAAGGCAGGATCCAAATCCTCATTCAGCAAATTGTTCGTAACTTTCAACATATCCTCTAGGTGATCTCTGGCAATGATCATGTCGACATTGTACTGCAAGCCGTCGTTGGCAGCCGGCCAAGTGGCAAATGTCGCATCCACAACAATGCCAAAGTTGTGGCCAGCTCCTCTCAGACCCCAAAACAGATCAGAGTTGGAGTTCTCTGAAGCCTCGACAACTGTTCCGTTCCAGAGAACTACGTGGGCGGATTGTAGGGCATCACTTGTCAAGCCGTAGAGGCCTTGAAGTCGACCCAGTCCACCGCCTAGCGTAGCACCCATGACGCCAACGCAAGGGCAGGCCCCCACAGCTGTTCAATCGTAATTAGCTACTCCCATAGCTGTAACAGAGATCTAATGCGCCATTTCACAGGGCCAAGGCCACTTACTGAGTTCCCTTCCAGCAGTACCAACAGTGCTGACCAGGTCCCGGAATTTCGTGCCAGAACCCACGGTGACTGTATCGTCTTGATTCATGATAACGTTGTCGAAATTCTCCATGTTAATCATGACAGCCTCCTGAATGACGCCGAGAGTTGGGGAGTATCCATGTCCACCGGACTTAGCGAGCCAGGCCTTTTTGGTGCTTGATAGATATTCAAGCTGCGATGCCGATTTCAGTACAGTCCAAGGTGAATCTTATCAACGCCATAACGAGACCATGTCTGGACTTACGCCTTTTGAGAGTTGCTCAACCGTCTCTGGGAGAAAGACTTCGTTGAAGGTTGGGGCCTCGAAGGTAGACCACCGGGTGGTCTTTTCGACAAACTGAGGCCAAGATTCGTTGAATGCGAGGTGCGAAATCTCCTCCGGCCATGGCTCAACTGTACGAGTGCTCTTCGGAGACCCCAACGCCGATCCCGCAAGAACGTTGAAGGTCAGAAAGACTTCAATAAGTCCGTACATCGTGACTGATTATACAAAGATGAGTAATGATAAGGGGGGAAAGACTTGTAGCAACTCTCAATCCTGGGTGGACGTGGAGATCTATTTACTAAAATGTTGGAGTCTTCTGTTTAAGAAGTCAAGCTGCGTAATGAGCTTACGCGGTAAAGCAAAGAATTGAGCCTGCTTAAGTAGCGTTCTGCGGACCAGCTACATTGCCTGACTTTAGGAAGCTTCTACTGGTCTTCCCACCTACCTAACGCTATTCCCCGCGAGACATTTACCCCTTTCAAGGCAACCTCTCGTAAACAGTCAATTGCTTGGAGGCTACCCAGCTCACCGTTTACGATTCCTATCATCCTAAGGCTTCTTGGGGTTGGTTCGTTGCCTAAAAGCCTTGGCAAACAATATTTGAGCCCGACCTATATTCTCCCCGAGCACGTCCGCCGGGTCATTCCTTCTCACCTGAAAGATGCAGAACAGCAGCCCATTAACAATCAGGTAGACAGCCTTTTCTGTAAGCTTGCAGGACTCTGCCTAGTTCAGCCGCACTTCAAAGGGAGGATGTAGATGGCGAAGCAACGAGGATGTGGGAGGCGCCTGACCCGCCGCTTTGAAGCATAGCCCCCACGAGAACATTACCGACCTCAATGTCCCTTAGCCTTTATGACGATTTCAGATTGCATAAAAATTCCGAGGTATTGCAACAGACACTCTCCTAAAAGTTCACTAGTATTGAAAAGGAGCAAAAAACCTTGGTAGCTGTTTTAATTTTCTATGAGGAAGGACATCGTTCGTTCGCAGGCATCAGAGTCGTCCTCACAAGAACGCATGAGTGTTTTGGTAGATTTATGACTATATATAGACTCCGATCAACCAAGGGGTAGTCAAAGTCGTAATGAATGTATTGGATTGTCAGCAGTTGGTATTCTTGCTGTTGGTATGTTTGACCCCATGGCGGTAGAGGCCGGGATTACCAGCAGTGCGTCAGACAAGAACGCATTAGAAGTGTTGCGGATTAATTCAGTCTGAGCCAAAAACCGCGCTGACTCCGGATTACCGCCGACCACATGCAACTCATAGTTAATCATCTGGAAAGGCGGTTCTCGGTGTGGTTCATAAGCGAAATTGCCAAATTGTGATGCCACAGATTGGACATCTTTCATACTCTACTGTTGATGCCACATCTTCTGCTCTGAATAACTGGGTCCATATGTGATGAAGTCGCCGCTCACTGCTGGAAGACCGATGTGACTCGTAAGCTTGCATTCGGACAAGCCGCGAAATGGCCCAGCGGGTGTTCATGGCTGCGTAATCCTTCTGTACTCCTGGGGCGCACACACTTGGCGAAGTACTTGGCGTAATCAACAGGGAATGACCTTGCCCAAAGCCACCACACCGACAGCGGTGCACCTTCCTATTCGGCAGGTGTATCCGTACCTTGCGTTAGCAAATGGGGTTTATCCAATCGACTGCATGAAAATGTAGCCACCGACAGCTTGGCCGCGCTTGCTACGATCGCGAGGGCGATCTTCGTTCAGTTGTATGTGAACAGGCTCTTCTCGGCCATCTTTGCACGATTTCTTTTATTTCCTTAGAAGGTTACGATTGTCCCTTTGAGAAAATACTAGTTACGCTCTTAAAACCGTTCGCCCGTGACTAAGCTGACACCTTCTACTCTATGTGTGAACTCTGAAAAACATCGAAAAGTGCCAACCCCTTTACTTCTATGAATAGCCAATTCTACCCTTGGTACTTGTGTCAGGGCGAGGAAGAAATTGTGTGAATCATGGTGCTAGTGAAATTGGCAAATTCCTCTCAGTTTCAACCGAATAAGGTACGAATGGGTAAAAGATATTTTCATTCCGTACTTAACTGAAGGCTACAGTATGGCTCTAAGATAATCATAGAGGATGATGACCTATTGGTGTTCGTAACCCCTCCTACTTCCTCAGGAAGTTGATTGATTCTAACTGCTTTGAATCACCAAGACCAAGGCTCAGATTCTTGAACTCGTCCAAATCCTTCCGGATACTCTCCAGATCCGAATTCAGCAGACCCCATGCGTCTGGCCCGAGAGGAACACGAATTGGCACACGATTTCCGCTGCTGACCACAGCATAGATGGCTACGGCGAGGTCTCGTGGTTCGGTCCAAGTACTGCGTCCTTGTTCGCTCTGTATATACCCTAACAAAGCATTGGCTGGGAAACTTGGGTCCGAGTACGCGGGATGGCGACCTTTCATCATCTTCAAGGAGGATGTTGCATAGTTGGTTTTAACACCACCAGGCTCGATAATTGAGAGGTGAACTATTAGAGAGACAGAGATCAGTTGCCCGGTCATAAATCTGCACGACCGCAATCCTGAGAAAAGGGGCCATGAACTTACTGTTCCATGCGGTCGGCAGCTCTTTGGCGACAGATTCCGTCCACCCTTCCATGGCAAACTTGCTGGCGTGGTAGAAAGCCTGACCTGGGAAGCCAGCCCAGCCCCCAATTGAGCTGATGTTCAGAATTACTCCACCCTGCTGACCACTCTTGGGGTTTTCATCCCGCATGATGCCGAGTGCCTTCTTCGTCACGTCCACCATACCCCAAAAATTAGTATCCATCACAGCCCGAGCCTCCTCATCTCCGGCGCCTTCAGCATCGCCTGCAAGTGTGTAGCCTGCATTATTGACAACAATGTCAATGCGACCCCATTTCTTGACGGTAGCAGCCAGAGCAGATTCGATAGATGACTTTGAGCACACGTCAAGCTGCAACTTGAGTACGTTCTCGCCATCAGGTATGTCAGACAGACCCGCAGGGTTTCGAGCTGTGGCCACGACCCGGTTGGACGTTTTTGCGATAAGTTGGGCTAGCGACTGCCCAATGCCGGACGAGCATCCTGATACTACATGTAAAAAAGAAGAGTCAGTGTCGAATCCTGGAGACTTTGTGGATTAGTCACTAACCGAACCAGACCGCATCAGAAGTGATCTTGTATGGCTTAGTATTCGGAGCCTCCATGTTGAAGGTAGAAAACTTAGTGTTAAAGAGAAGCTAAGGAAGTTGCTTAGATCCAAACATAGGCATCATGATTCAACTAGCGGTCTTCTAGGATGACCAGGCCATCTATACTCGTTTCAGTTTCCTGTGAACCAATGCGGACTGGATGGAGATTGTAGGACTTAAGAAATGCTGCTTAATGTCTCCGTTAAATCCGGTGAGGTGCATAAAGGACATATACGACATTCGTCAGACTACTGGCACGCTTGAAATAATCGGCCCCTCACCAAAGGCCGCCACACTGGGCTGGATGATGATAATCTTCTTGGCGTACATTATGAGCTGCATTGCGGCTGAATTCAAAAGTCTCACCGGAACAGGGTCTGGTACGAAGCTGACGTATCTCCAACATATATTGGTGATGTACTTATGGGGAGATAAGCTGCCTGTCGTTGTGGAGCCGTAAGCCGGGCTCAGAACCTATGTTGGCTGTACCACCGCAGTGCGTCTGCAGTCCTCGTATCTGCAGCCCTCATGAAGTAAGGCATACCGTAGCTCTTATTGGCCAGCTGTCTTGAAAGCCAAGAGTCTGGCGCGACAGCTGTTTTGCTCCAACAGCACAGAGATTTGCTGATCTCATCTCAATAGACATAGGGATTTAACATCGTCGACCCAGTTTTTCACAAGGACTTCGTCGCGACCGAAGGAACAGGAACATGGTCCCATTTGACTGGACCTGGCACAGACTGCGGCTGTATACGTCTCCCCAGCCTTAGCAGATGAGGGAACGGGCGATATGATTAGACCAAACTTCAAACAGATTATGTTTTCTTCTCCTCCGTCTTCAAGGCTACGAAATGCTGCAACACAGGATCGTTGGTAGAAACCACCACCATCGACGCTGGCAACATGGATGGTCTGGAATAACCCAACCAGGGTGAAACGACGGAAACACCAACACTAGTTAACCATGCCAAATGAACCGACCGTCTTCTCATGTTGCATAATGCAAATTGCCAGGGCAGTCGTAAGGCCGCGGTTTCCAATCAAAGCTCCGGTCCTGCCATAACAACAGAAGTGTCCTGCCGGCCAGCTACCGTCTACCTCTTGCAAAGACATGAAGGTTTTCAAATCCTTCTGGTAAAGGCTGGAGGAAATGGACACCTTTTGGCATGCGAAGAGTCGCATTGCCAGCGCCAAAGGGTTGACCTGTGTATTGATCCTTTCCTTGAGCTTCTTCTTCACAGGCTCTAAGTTCTGCTTCAGGTGGGCATCCCTGCACTCGTCGTATAGACGAGCAACAAGGTAGAGAAAGGCTTCTGGTGTTGAATAGTGCCTGCTTCCATCTAGACAGGCGTCGTTGTTGAGGCTGTCTACAACCCAGGCTTTGGTAGCTTCGATGTTGAGATTAGCGTCCAACATGAGACCGAAGCGGTTGAAGGCCCGCAAGATGTTGCAGCAAACTTCGGGGCTTTTCCGGGGCCGATCTGTGCAGAAGTAGGTCTGCATGATACCATCGTTGTCTATGTTGGCTGCCATCATGTCCAAGACTAGTCTGGGAGGTGCAATGCGTGATAGATACTCCTCAGGAAGGGATATATATGCCGTTGAAGTCGTGTCAGCGTCGGGAGGAAATTCCCGGGTTGTCAGAACTGGCTTGTTGCAGAAGTAGTTCCAGAGTCCCAACTCGACATCATTCTTGATGTCATCAGGGGAAGCCCCGTTAGCCATGTCGTTCATTTCAGAGATCCGCTCGCCAGAGACACACTCTTTGTCTTTCAGCAGTTTGCCACCAGGCCAACGAAGATCAACCAAGGTCGAATCTCCTGTCAGCTCCCAAATCATGAGCTGAGAGAAATTGTCCTTTATAGTGACGTCCTGGAGCCCTTCAACTACACAGATGTGGTTCGTTGCGTGTGACTTCATAAATGCCTGTGCTCGTGCTTCAGGGTCCTCCAAGAGGTTATGGAGTATGTTGCGGGCTTTATTAGGATGCTTGGAGTCAACCAGCAACCCATGGATTCCGAGAGAACGAGCGGCACATATGTTCTCAACCGTATCGTCAATCATGATTGCCTGCTCTGGCCTTACTCCAATCTGGTTGAGGACGTGGCGCCAGAAGCCTAGCTCTGGCTTTCGCATTCCTTCGTTTCCCGAGGCGAAGATCTGTGTGAATTGTGACCAAGGCAAGTCAATTTCCTTTCGAACAAGTTGAAAGTGTTCCTAAAAGTTCGGCCAGTCAATGCTACTGAAACTGTATTCATAGAGAGGTTTGGTGTGTGTAAAAGAATGCGAAAGCAAAGATGACGCTTACCACAGATATGTTGGACATGATGTAAAATTTGAGATCCGCGTTAGAGGCTTTCAAAGCCTCAATTGTGTCCAAAAAGCCGCGCACGACTCTGAGAGACTTTTGGGCCTCCCGCAGAGAATTCTCGATTATAGCTGCTTCCATGCCAAGCATTGCGCCAAAGTACTTGATTGTGTTTCGGTGTTAGATTCTCTGTTGTGTGATTAACGTGATATAGCTAACTCACCTCGCAAGATTGCTTCACGGTAAGCTCGCCCCTGTCCAGTTGATACCAGGCTGGTGAGTTCATGATGGCTAGAAACTGGGTAGGAGCCAATGCTGTTGCTCCATGGCGGTCCCATTCTAACAAGACGCCGCCGAGATCAAAGATGAGAGCTTTCAACGCCATCGTAATCCTCGAAAGATCGAATACAGGGCCTTAGTTCGATAAAAAGATCGTTTGAGCCATTGAAAATGGCAACAGAAGGGTCGTCTGAATTAATAACCGTGTTCGAGTCCGTTGCATTAGTGACATACAGCTCATGTGATGTAGCTCCAATAACCAAAGGTTTTGATCCATAGAAACGGGTGCCCACTTTCCATGTTTAGCATTTCATCAAGGGGTTCCAATCGTTGCATTGTGTTCAACTGCAGAAAATCCGACTTCTGATATCTCCCAGCATATGCAGGCGGCTTCACGATGATGCATTGTCGTTTTTGTTTTTGTTTTAGTCATATCTGACGCAAAGGCGACAAGCATCTTTCAGCTCGGATCCACCGAGACTGTATCACTATTGGATGGCCAAGACCATCAACACAAATTCCTAGACGATAACACCAGAATGATTCTCAATAAGGTAAATGCAGGCAGAGCCTTGCATTGCATCAAGTCAACCCCACTCATCCTCTGAAGAAATGCGCAGACGGCTCGGCTGGAAGCATGATTACTCTGTTGGAAGCATGCTTACTCTGTTGGAAGCATGCTTACTCTGTTGGAACATGCTTACTCTGTTGGAAGTATGCCTGCTCGGTTGGAAGTATGCATGCTCGGTTGGAAGCATGCCTGCTATGTTGGAAGCGTGCCTGCTCGGTTGGAAGCGTGCTTACCTTACTCGGCTGTGCAGTACTGCAGCCTGCGGTCGGCTAGTCACATCCTTCGGTGTGATTGAAGATACATTAAAGCAAGGATAATGTCGCAATCAAAACGACACAGTAACAGAGTAAGTCCAGGCTGCAGTGAGCGCAAAAATGGACAGCCTGCGGCCAACAGTAGCATGCAGCCATACATACAATGCAACAACTCTAAGGTTCGGACAAATCACCTCAACGTCGCAGTACCAAGCCCCAGAAGAGGGAAAATGTCAGGCTTACGTGGCAGAGCTCGTGCTCGGTCGAATGGCTCACTCGCTGTATGTCATATCTCCACAGGTAATCAATACGAGCAAGCCAAGCCATGAAATACATGCGAGCAATCACTGCATCAGGCAATCGGTTCATCGACTGAGAGTCTCGACCAATGCTTTATCCTCCACCTTGAACATGGGTCTCACCTAGCCAAGTGAATGTCCTTGCATATCGAGCTGCCCTTGAATAAGGCTCTCTGAGGATCACTGTAAACAGAGAAGGGTTGAGGTACGCACCAGTATCGCACGAAGTGATCAACCAGAACACAGTTCTCTATAATTTGATTGATTCTTGCTAATTCTTTTGTCGTACATCTGTGAAGCTTGGAGCCGCAGGGTATCATTCGATCTGAATATCCGCCACGTACCTACTGCGCCTTGACAGCAGTATCGAGATGGAGAAGGGCGCCGAAGGATTTTCCACACGTCCCAGAGACTTCGTCTGTTTACTTCTGGCCGCCGTGATCGCGCATCGAATCAGTCTCATCGTATATCGACTTTACCTGTCTCCCCTAGCAAAGTTCCCCGGCCCCAAGATTGCGGCTGCCACATCATGGTACGAGAGTTTCTGGGACCTCTGGAATGCACAGTTTCCTGAGGTCGTGAAGAATATGCATGAAAAATATGGTACGGCTGTTCACCCACGTTGGCAGCGATGAAGTTGATGGCAGCAAGGTCCAATTGTGCGAATCAATCCTCGTGAGCTTGTTATCCAAGACGCCGATTTCTACAGCCAGCTCTACGTTCCGGGAGGAAAGCGAAGAACACATACGATCATGGGAATGCGTGCGGGTCTGGGCATGTCAGGTAAGCTGAAGATATCTATTTGCTCACCGCTTATGTACGCATAAGAAAATGGACGGTTTCCGCTGACTTTCTGCGACATTCGACAGACGCGATCGCGACCACGAGCCAGCACGAGCTGCATCACATGCGAAGAAAGGCCGTGGAGGGCTTTTTCTCCAAACAGAGTGTCACACGAATGGAATCCAGAATTCACCACGAGGCAAGGAGGCTTGATGAAAAATTGCGACAGTTGAGCGGCAACGGACAGGTCATCCATCTTGACCATGCGTTTTCCTGTGTCACTGGTGATCTAGCGGCGCAGTTCGCTTGCGGAGAAAGCCCTGAATTGATCGAAGAATTTGAATTCAACCCCGAATGGTGAGTTGTCAAAGGTTTGACGCAGAGTCTAGTAATAACTGTACACTGGTAGGCATAACTCCCTCATGGGAATACTAACAATGGTCCCATATGTGCGCAACTTCCCTTGGATTAATAAGTAAGTAACGCGGGAATCTCTTATTGAACGACACTTACGGTATTTTACAGTGTCATGAGACTGGTTCCTGTGTGGGTTTTGAAAGCACTGAACCCTGAGCTCGCAGGATTCAGAATCTTCCATCTTGTAAGTAACATTCCAAGTTCCATCGCTATCGATCAACTGGTACTATAGTATACTCAACCACTGTTTGCGCCTGACAGTTCAGCGAAGGACGAATTGAGGCAATCAAGAGAGAGATGAACGACCAAAGCAAAGACGACGAGAACACAAAGAGTTCAATATTTCATCACATCCTCAGGAGCGACTTGCCAGAAGCAGAAAAGGCAACAGACCGCCTGAACAGAGAAGCGTTTGCGCTGTTAGCCGCTGGCACCATCACCACAGCCGGTACTATGACGCTGATCACGTACTTTGTCCTCGAAAATCCCAACATTGAGAAGCGGCTGCGGCAAGATCTCCACCAAGTCACGGCGTGTTACCCAGAGACTGTCCCCCGCTGGGCGGACTTGGAGAAGGTTCCCTTCTTGACTGCATGTATCAAAGAAGGCTTACGGTATGTGTGCAATTCTCCAGACGAGTTTGACGAGTCTGAAGCTGAATGAAATGGAGGCTTGCGCGTTTTATGAGGCGAAATACTCGTATCTCGCCAGATGTAGATCTTAAGTATGGGCAATGGACTATTCCAAAGCACGTGAGTCGCATTTCTCTGGTCATTTCTTCACGAACTACCTGACATATGTGCTTCGCAGACACCGGTCGGAATGCACATATGCCATATGCACATGGATCCGGAGGTATATCCTGAACCGACCAAGTTCATGCCAGAACGCTGGCTTGGAGACTACGATCCACGGATGAATCGGAACCTGGTTCCCTTTGTGAGAGGCTCCCGAAACTGTTTAGGCTTGAAGTAAGGACCCCATCTCTTACATACATGGCTGTCACTGGCTTAACCCACTAAATTCTTTAGTCTTGCTTGGGCTGAAATGTACATATTCCTGGGCGTCATCTTTGGCTCGGGAGCCCACGAAATGAGCTTGGAGTGCGAAGAGTCGGACATTATCCCTGTCCGTGACAGCGATGTTGGATTTCCAGCCCATGGTGGACAAGGCCTACGCGTTAGATTTCATTAGACCTTTATAAATGGCCGCAGGCAACATCCCGTCAGTATTGTACAATACTGTACACATGACACAGAACTCACCACATCGCGGGAATCTCGTGGACGGTATCTACAACTCAGATATCATAGGCGCAGGAACAGCCCTGGATATATACGTTGTCAATAGTTCTAGCTTAGTCCCCAGAGTAGACTTAGCTGCATAATGTATGTACGGAAGAAAGGAATCAAGAAACCATCGATAATACACAATCACTGCGCCTCTTCAGCGCCGTCGAAAATGGCGAGACCAAAGCTCCTCGTCCACGTGCTGCCCTCGCTGTCCTTGACACTGATATCAAGGTAGTCGATACCCTTCTCCGCACCAGCTGTGTACGTCGCCTTAGTTCCCTGAACGCTCACTTCACCTCTACCAGCACCTGTGATCTCAAACGTAGGCTCCTTGAAGCCCAACGCCAACGCCGCGAGATCGATCTCGACAGCCTTGGAGGGAGAAACATAAGCATGCGGCTCCGCCATGAAGTTGAGGTACCCCTCAATCGGCGTGTATCCATCCCCGCCGCTCGAGCCGTCCCACCAGTCGGCGATGCCGTCGCCGTTGGCGTCCCAGCTCGCGGCGCGCTTGACCTCGGGGAAGTCCTCGAGGCCGCCAGCGTCCTTGGGGTCGTCGATGAGGCCCTTCTTGCCGGAGACTGAGCCGACGTAGGTGGTGGTGCCGGTGAGTGTTTCGTTGATGATGCGGGCGTCGTGGGTGTCGCGGACGGGCTGGCTGACGCCCGAGTCGGAGAGCACGCGCTTGTAGGCCTCGGTGGATGACTGCGTGTCGACGTGCGGCTCGAAGAAGGGCTCCGAGAAGAACTTCTGGTAGGTGGGGGCCGGGTCGAAGGAGACCTTGGCCCAGCACGCAATTTTGTCCGTGATGGAGGTGCCGTCGCCGGAGGGGTACTGAACGGAGTCTTGGTCGAAGACGCCGTACAGGGAGTTGCCTGCGCAGTGGTACTGCTGCATGCCGGGCATGTTGTCCTCGTACTATTCGGGGTTAGCATTGCATCTGAGTAGGCGCTGAGGGGATTCAACTTACTGTGGCCTTGAGGGTGTAGTTCAATTTGGAAGATGGACCGGGCTTGTAGTAGTTTCCGACAAAGTTCACCTTCTTGGCTCCGCCGTCCGTGACGCGGGAGCCGTAGTTGTAGACGACGTTGTTGCGGATGTCGAGCTCGCCGGCGAAAGCGGCGTTGTCGTCAACACCGCCACCCATACTCCAGCTGCGGCCCTCGGCGTGGGCGAGCAGGTTGTGGTGGAAGGAACCGACGTCACCGCCGATGGTAGCGCTGTAGCCGTGGGCAGTGCCGTTGGGGTAGTTCTTGTGGCCGGCAACGTTGAGAGGCTCAGAAATCATGTTGCGCTGGAAGGTGATGTTCCAGGCCGAGCGAGAGCTGAAGGCCTCGTCGATGGTCCAGCCCTAATCATACTCGTTAGTGGGCTAGTCTGATAGAATAGTTGAGTATGAGGAAGCCATACCATGGAGCAGCGATCAAAGATGCAGTGATTGGAGCCCTGCATTCCCATGCCGTCGATAGTCTCGCCAGAGACCTTGCCAGGGCGGACGCGGACGTGGCGGAAGACGATGTCGGAGGCGCCGGTGAGACCGACCGGGAAACCTTGGACGACGATGCCCTTGCCGGGAGCCGTCTGGCCGGCGACGGTGACGTACTGGTCGTTGACAGAGATGCGAGACGTGGTGGTGATGACGCCAGAGACGTCGAAGACGACGATGCGAGGTCCCTTGGCGACGGTCAGGGCGTAGCGGAGGGTTCCTTCGTCGGTTGAGTCCGCCAGGCTGGTGACCTTGACAACTTTGCCACCACGGCCGCCACGAGCGAAGCGACTAATTGCCATGTTAATAACTCATGCTTTGGTTGAAGAATAAGAGGCGACTTACCCATAGCCCTCAGCACCAGGGAAAGCCAGCTGGGCCACGCGGAACATGAAGACGCGGCCGGTGTAAGTTGCGTCCCCTGCGACGACGTCGACGCGCCAGTAGAATGTGTCGAAAGTGTTCAAGCCTTTCAATCACTTAGTCCAATCCCATAATTTGTGAGAGCCAAGAGAAACATACCAGGGAGAGAAGCGCTCGTCTCAGTGACCCCCTCAGCAACGCTCGTCAGGTCAGTCGCCGAAGTGCCAAGGAAGACATTATACTTGACACCCTCCGCCGACGCAGGCGCGCGCCACGAAGCCTTCACGCTCGTCTCAGTACCAATCTCGATGCGCTCATCGCGGTGCTTCGGCGTCGGAAAGCTAATCTGGTTCGCCATCGCGGGCGCGTCAATCTCAAAACCGTTGATGAAGGCGCGCCCGTCGCCGCCGCTGGGCGTGTAGACCACCTTCACCTCCTGGCCCGCCGTCGCGACATCGAACGTCACATACGAGGCCGCGGCCTCCCAGATGTTGTCAACGCGCGCGGACTGTTTGAACCCGGACTCGACGCTCTTGCCGTCGACGGCGATGTCGAGCGTCGCGGTCGCGTTCAGGGCGTCCCAAGCGTTGTGCCACGTCAGCAGGCTGTGCTTGCCCGCGGGCAGGCCCTTGATGGAGAGGGTGAGCGCCGTGCCGTCCTTGGTCGAGGTGCTGATGCCCTCGTTGACGACGCGCTCACCGAGCGAGGAGAGGAAGCGCGTGTACTGGTACTTGTAGTAGTTGCCGGACAGCTCGGCGGTGCCGCCGGCGGCGAGGGTGAGGGAGACGTCGGCGTCGGTGATGTTGGCGACGGTGATGTTCGCGGTGGACGCGCCGGGGATGGTCCAGGTGATGTAGTCCGAGTCCACGAGGTTACGGACGTTGGCTGGGTTGAGCCGCAGGCGGATGGGGGCGACAGCGGGCAGGCCGGAGGCCGGAGCGGCGGAGGCTTCGGGGATGCGGGAGGTGACTAGCGTGGTCGGGGCCGGCGCCGATGAATTTTGGGCCGCGGAGGCGGTCGCGAGCGCGGTGGCCACCAGGGCCTTGAAGAAGCCCTTCATGGTGCTTGCTTAATACTCAATGATGATAGGAAAAGACAGACGGGATGAAACGAATGGAATGCAATGAACGGCAGAGGTTCCGAGACTGCGACGCCGCGAATGATGGGCGCGCGGGGGAACGCCAATATGTAGGCGACCACCTACGGTCTATTACCGGACATTTTCGCACCATGTTTGCGCCGAACCCACCTGTTCATTACCCTTTCTTCCCACCGCCAAACAAGCTGCTCCTATTTCTCTGCATGCTTTTCGAAGTGTGGTGCACCTCATTCCCAGATTGAAAGGCAAATAGATGGGGGAGGTGGGCGGCTGCTAAGAATGAGGCGATGGCGCTAGACGGTTCCTGGACGAGCCGGGGGATAAATCCAGCGCCCAGCGGTTGGCCATTTTCCACGAGTAGGGATCAGGGCGGCCCCCGCAATGGGATCTGGGTTGTATCCCGGACCAAACATGGCGCTGAAGTGACCAGAAAGTGGCCGTTGTGAAGGCACAGGCTGCGGGAACCTTGCATGAGGGCTTGGTGGGGATGAGGAAGGTGTTTAGGCTTGATGAGGCAGCTCGACTCAGGTGCGAAGTACGGATGCTGCAGCGACTGCGCACATCATTTCAAGTGGATGCCAAGAGGTGAAATTGCCCAGGGGCTCGTGAGCGTGGAGACTGGGCGACCGATCTGCGGCCCCTTGAATGTGACAGGGTTGACGAGTTGTGCTTTGGGGGGTTTTGTCGCAGCTGTTAAGGTTAGATGAGTTTGGATATGATTACGGTTGTAAACAATATCGATTGAACTTGCTGCCCGTTCATCTGATTCAGGCACAAGCCTCAAGAGGACTCTCTTCACATTGCATACAGCCGCAGAATGAAGTAGTTTTCGCACTCATAAGTTGACCGGTAAAACTTACTTAATCTTTTAGGCTTTGCGCCGATAGGATGTCTGGCCTGAAAAAAGCTACGCGGTTCATTCCAACTCCTGTCGCTGAAAACGTGCACTTTTTCGCCACAGAAATATCGTGAAATTGTTGTTGACTTGCTGACGGATCAATTCTGAGCTGGAAAAGGGCTCGCAGCATGGTCTTTTCGTGTACCGTACCCGCTAGGTTGAGATGAACGACGACTGAGGTGAACATGTCGGCTCTCGTCGTACCCTTGACACTGATGGGGACGCTGTAACGGGACATGAGAGAGATAGAGTAGGCATTCATCCACAACAAAAGGAACGTCAACCCGTCGTATGGAGCATTATTAATACATTACAGCAACGTTCCCGCTGCTTGAGAGGCGTTTAGACATACATGATACCAACAGAAATCACAAAGAAACCAACCCCTCCTCACTGGTTAAGGTACTGCTCGAACTTGCCACCATACCGCTGCCCTGCGACAGGCAAGCTCTCAATCAGCGCCCAGATCTCCTTCAAATCGTCGTCGCTCAGCTGCACGTCTTCGCAGTTCTGCACCACGCGCTC